CGCCCTTTAGCGTCAGTTAGATGACGCCCTAGGATCGCGTGTACCCTACCCCCACCCCAGACCTAAACCTAACCGCGTCCTCTAACTGACGCTTTCCTTTAACGTCAGTTAGATGACGCCGTAGGGTTGCGGATCACCGAAGAATACAACACAACTTGCCTAACTCCTTAGCCCAAAACATAGAATAAACATATGCAAAAATAAATGGCGTCACACTCCCTGGGGGCTCGTCCGGGATATGAACCCGGGACCTCTCGCATGGTCAAAGGTGACGCCTTGGGGTGAGAATGCGTTGAACAACCATGCCACGCTCAAAATTGCTTAAATCACCTTTCTTTCCCATTCTGACATTCAGTTTGGAGTTCAGGAGATTGTCTTGACCAGGACCACACCCCTAAATGCATTGAAGCAACTGCCATGTGATTGGTTGATTAGATAATTGCATTAATGAGAAATTGAACAGGTGTTCCTAATAATCCTTTAGGTGAGTGTACATTTACATTTAAACCCATCCGTCTTATCAATAATTCTACATATTTTAATGCAAATGTAAATTATCCATAGAAATAAAATGCAACATTTTGGTTAATCTGAATATAATTTCAGAATGTATTCTGAGCTCTATGAATTAATTTAATACTGTTTTATGAGAGATTCAATATTATTGAAAACAGCAGGAATCAATGGAGCCAACTTGACCAAAAAAAAAATATATATATATATTGTATTATAATCACAATGTATTATAATTGCACTATTTTGGCTCTAGAAAAGTGAAGTAAAAGTAAGTAAATAAATAAAACCACAAAAATCATGTTTGACAAAATGTCACTCAAACGATTCAGTAAATTAATCTGAACATGGGTTTTCGGATTAAAAATGGCATAGTATGTGAATAGTACAGTTTAATAGATTTTTACAATGAAGTTAAGAGTAAAGTAAACCAAAAAGTTTCACTGTTGGAAATCCTTGTTGTTGTTTTGTTCATTTAAAGACACAGAAGCTTTAATTTCATTTTTGCAAAGTCCATTGAAACTGTGACGTGTACAAGAGTGAAAGTTCACAGTGGAAATAAACAAAGATCCTCTGTTCATCTACCGAAGCTGCTTTGCATGTTCTTCACACAGAACCTGTTTCACTACAGATACTTCATTAAAGTTAAACACATAGGGGCGGTTTCCCGGACAGGGTTTAAATTAAGCCTGGAGTAGGCCTTAATCTAGAATAGTTAATCATGTCTTAAAAAATGGCTTTTTGTAACACAGATTAAGTACAGATTAGTTACACTTGGACTATGGAGTCCTGAACTAAAATAAATCAGATTAAATTAAAACCAACTGTGCTAATCTGAATTAGCATGACAGAGGTTGCCTATAAAACATGGAATGAACCAAGAAAAGCTTCAAATTGGAACTGAGAAGCAAATCCAAAGAAAACAATGGCATCAGAAAAAGACTGCAATCAAAAAACATTTACTAACAAGAGTAAATCATTTTTATGCAAGCTAAATAATCACCAGCTATGGAATAAAAAAGAAATGTCGGGAAATCTCTCTCTGTGTGTGTGTGTGTGTGTGTGTGTGTGTGTGTGTGTATATGTTATATAAGTTTGTATAAATACATACACATAAAATCAACAATGTACAACTAGAATCAATGGTGTTCTTTAACATTGAATGGTTTTCATTTTTAAAAATGAATTATTCAAACAACTATAATTAATGCTTTCATTAAAAACCAGTTTAACCATCGCAGTTGTATAGGCCTACAGGTAGTCAGTTAGCCTTAATTATGTTCCATCGTGATCGTCGGACTAGAGTCCGTATATGCTTTGAAATCATACACCATATAGTAGCCTATAAAATGTGTAAAATAACGCCATGATGAGTTTTTGAAGTAAGAAACACACAAGGGTCACAAGCTAACACGGACACAATGTTTTGATCCATAGCATACAGCTGCATAAAGTGACGCCGAGACTGCAATAAACAGGTAGTAGTGAGAAAGCTTAACTTGTTTGTCACGGTGTTCTGCGCGCGTTCGAAACCCGTAGAAAGATGTTTTTTTTTTTTTTTTTTTTTTTGAGATCATAGCAATACTTTGTCATCTTTACAAAAAAACGAAAGGCATGTAAAGAGCAAGTCTGCGTTTATTAGACAGCTTAATGTCGGCGTCGCGTCAGTTTGTGCTTTCAGAATCGACGAATCTACGATCTCCGCACATCTGCAGCGGGTGAACTGAACAGGAAGTTGGTCACCGGTTAACACGGTCACGGCGCTCCGCACACACGCACATCATGCACTGCGCCAAAAAATCTGGGTCGTGAAAAATCACCACAATAGGCTACTAGTATAAATAATAAACAACACATAAAATATGTCTAAAGCATGTTAATATAAGCATTGCAAGGCCTAGACCAAATTGGTCGAGAAAAAGGTGAATCTCCTGTTCCAGTCTCCCTCTGGTGCCCCCATTCCTCACCTCCCAGTGGTCTGTTCCTCAATCAGTGTCAAATTTGGCAGACACCGACCTCAGACATGGTCTCGAGAAGGCACCAAGAGTCGGAGGCGGAAAAAAGGAAAAAGAAGAAACTGCGGGATGATACACGCGCATCGCTTGCAGGTAAGACAATGTTTTAAATAAAAGTGTTAGTTTTGTAGGCGCCCTTGCGTCGTGTTTTAATGTCCAGGGGGGCGTCGCTAGTAGTGCAAATGATCCAGGGCTTTGCCCTGCATGTAGAATCTTTTATTTTAACGGGGGTCTGGAGGTCACTCCCCCGGGAAATTTTTTAACTTGGGCTGTTTAAGATGCAGCTAGTTTGTTTGAGAAGAAAAGGAAAACCGCTTAGATACGTTTTTTCGTTGTTGTTCTATGCGGATAATGCGGTCACAAAGGCCCAAGGGCGACATCTGTTGGTGAAACTGCAATTAAAAAAAAACACACAATCTCAGTGTTTGTATATTTTCATATTCACAGAGTTGTCAAATGATTAGGGCTAGGAAAAGATTAATTGCATCCAAAATAAAAGTTTCTACATGATATGTGTGTGTACTGTGCACAGTTTTAATTAGGGTAGTCAAAATGTTAATGTCTTTTTTTTTTTTACATTGGTTTATTACATGGGACATATGTGTTTCCATGCATGTTGTTGATGTCTTTTCTTGTACAGCCTATTCATACATGGTTGATTATTCATGCTGCTTATGTATTATACTATTTATTTTGTGTGTGTGTTCTATTATTCATATTAATCTATTACTAGTTTTTTTCCCCCAAGTGCATGGAGGTGTATGTAATAAAATGGATCTAAAATATGTAATAAACAATTCTTATTTTGTAGTTGGTTCAGTTAATGGTAACCATAGTAACAACATGAAATAAAAAATAATGATAAAAAATTGGTTCCTGGAGGCACCTTTGGTAGATTTCTCCCTAAACCTAACTATACGTCCTATAATATTTATACTCTAGCACGTCTACAGTTGCCATCGGCTGAGTCTAAATGTCCTAGCGTACTGAGTTTATTTTATTTAAAAAAAGAAATCAGATAATTATATATAGATGCAAATAAATAAATTAATTAATAAATAGATAAATTTCGTAACAGAGTAAAGCCAGAGAAGAGGAGAATCAGGACACAGAGATGATGATAAAAATGAGGATCTTTATTGAAGAAGTTTAATTGTGTATGTTTCAATGGTCATACTTAGTCTGATCAGCACGACTCCTAATCTACAAATGACTAATCGGTGAATAAACATTTGTATATAAATGGTTTAAATGATTATTATAAATGAGTATGTGATTAAATAGAACAATTAAATGAAAACATTAAAAATTATTGTAAATGATTTAATAAATGAAGAATAAATGCATAAAAGAAAGAAAGTAAAACAACATCATGGTTTCTTTCTTGAAGAAACACAGTTTGCATTTGAGTATTCCTATAATCTATAACTAGTTTTAATATAACAAGCAAATGGAATGGAAATTGTGGAAAATTAATGGCGCTACATTTTGCAGTTCAGGTATTATCTATGATTACATAGTATTGCAGCAAAATAATCTCTTTCTGATAGAACAACAAATAAACAGATTTTGAAGAGATAAAACAAATGAATATACATATTTGTAGGCTATAACAAGTACAAATTTTAAGAAATAATATAGAGGAAAACAAAGAAAATATCATCAAGAAGGAGCAACAGAGATCCACTTCTGAAATGTCAGGTTAAAAAACTGTTTCTACACTCGTAATATGCAGACCCAGTCACCTCTCAAACAAAACACACCAGATGCTTTTATAAAGGATGATCCGTTAAAATCAGTTATTTTTGCATCAAAATAAAAAGAAATCAAAGATACAATAAACTAGAAAGTAGTGGACAATTAAAATCTTAATATTTGGATTAATGTTTAAATCCATACATTTATATGTGCATCTATAAAAGAAATAATCAAACAAGTTCTGATCAAAGACTAGAGTGCCAAAATTGATTACATTTACATGTGCACCAATAATGCGATTGTTTCTAGTAATCAGAGTAAGGCCTTGGATGTTTAGATGACATGAGCAGAACTCTTCAGTTTACATGCAATTTCAATTATTTTGATTATTCGTTATGGTCTTTCCACACTCACATAGGCATACAGTATGCATGTTACTGGCCATTGTTTTAATCTACTCACATCAAATAATAAAAATAAATGTTTTATTATGTTTGATGCCGTGAAGAACATCACAATGCTGAGTTTGCCAAGTGCATGCACAGTTTGGTCAGAGCAGTAATAATGAGGTTCAGGGGTTTGCATGTTTATTGCTATTAAAATTGCCGTACATCACATAGTTTAAAGCTTATATGGTTAATACTATTATGAGCTTAATTGCATTAGTTTGAATTTTTGGGTTTACACGAGGTAAAGTTTAATCGCAATATTGCCAAAATCCCATTATAATTGCATTAATAGGGTGCAAGTAAATGTAGCCTACTTAGTGACAGCTCAACTGGAAACTTTACTATTAGTAACTCCAAGAATAGCTCCACCAATACCTCCACCGATGGCTCCAACACCAGCTCCAACACCAGCTCCAATAAGAGCTCCAGTACCAACAGCTCCGGCAGAAACCGCTCCGGTCGCAGCCGTTGCACCGATACAAGCTGAAAGAGAAGCTCCAGCAACAGAACCTGTAACAGTAGCTCCTCCACCACTAACAGCTGTTACAACAGCTCCAACACCAGCTCCAACACCAGCTCCAACACCAGTTAAAACCAATGCTCCGGCAGTTATTCCACCAACAACAAAAGCTGCCATTTGAAAATGACTCTTGTACTCAGAAAAGAAGTTTTCAAATCCTTTTTTGCTCGCTGTTTCTCTATCTGCTTTATCTTCTAACTCTTTTCTGACTCTCTCCTCTGTCTCCTTCACCACTCTGTCAATCTCATCTTTACTTTGTTTCTCCTCTCGTTGTTTTCTCTCCTCTTCCTCTCTCTGTCTCTGTTCTTCTGCTTCTCGCCTGAATCTCTCAGCATCTTTAAGCATCTGATTACTGTAGTGTCCTCCTCCATTCTGCTCTATCATTGTGTCAATCTTCTGCAGTAGATCGTTCACCTGATCTCTGTTATTCTCATCTTTATTGTCCAACACGTGATATCTGCCTCCACACTGACCAACTAGTTTACTTAATTCTTTGTTCTTCTCAACGAGCTCTTCTATGGTCTCTCCTTCTAGCTGATCTCCATTAGTGAAGAGAATGATGGAGTATTTTAACACCTCCTGACCAAACAACATCTCAATGATCTGAGGAATCTGCTGCTCCTGTTCAGTGAATCTGTCAATTACTCTGAGAACAATGAGAAAAGCGTGCGGTCCAGGACTGGATATATAAACACTTTTTGCTATCTCCATCATTAACTCTTCAGTTTTAATAGAAGTGTCAAAGAATCCAGGAGTATCGACTACAGACACAGATCTGTCTGAAACAGTGTTGTGTTGCACTGAACATTCACTGGTTACTGAATTCTGGCTCCTCTGAGAGAAAAACTTCTTCTCTCCCAGTATTATGTTTCCAGTAGCACTCTTCCCAACACCACTTTTACCCAGGAGAACAATCCGTCTGGATAAACGGCTATCGACAGGAACATCCTGGATGTTGATTGGAATTCTTTGCTTTGGTTGTTTTGGTACTGCAAAAAATATAAATAAACACAATCAAACAATCACTTATTTGATACGGGAAGCCACTTTTTCACATTGATTGATTTCACATTCATATTGAAATATTCTGGTGGGGGAATGGAAAACTTGAGATGGAGAAATGTAAAAGGGGTAGAGATGTATGAGAATCCATGAATGCGCATGAATATTATTTTAAATTTATATAACTATATCTTAGAGTTAACATTCAGTAAATACCAATTACACACAAATTATATTATAAATTATATACTGCACATTTTCTTGTCCTGAAAGGTTTTCCTTTACTTGTACTATAATATTGTGGCCATAATGATAAATTAATGTATTAATAAGCAAGGAATCTCATTTCCTACATTAATATTATGATGCACTGCTAAAATATTACCTTTCAATCTAGATAAAATAAACTTACGATTCTCCAAGTTCCTCTTAAAAACTTTAGATATCAGAGAATTGACTTGATCACTTGGTTTATTTGTCTTGTTGTTGAAGCTGTGGAATCTGCCCTCATATTTCTGAATAAGTTTCTTCAAGGTTTCATTCTCTTTAATGAGTTGATTTATGCTCTTATTTTCATTGTTGAGTTGATCTTCTCCAGTGAAGAGAATCCAGGATTTCTGCATGCGTTTTTCTCCCAGTAGCTCCTCAATCTTCTCCACCGCTTCTTGATCTTTTTCAGTGAATCTGTCACACTGGAGAACCATCAGATACGCACAGAGGCCTGATTCACATTTCTGCAGAAACTCTTCATATTTCCTAAGCTCTTCCCTACTCTCTGAACCAGAAAACCCGGGTGTGTCACAAACCGTGATTGGTAATTTACAAACAACGGCATCTTCACCAGCAAAATCTTGAGTGACTGAAATGGAGCTTTCCTCTGATGTGAAAGCTTCTTTTCCCAGTATTGTATTTCCTGATGTACTTTTCCCAACTCCAGTTTTTCCCAGCAAGACCAAATTAAAACGCAGATTTGAGTGCACATTTGTCATCTCCATTTTTATTTCGTAGCCTAAAAATAAATAAAAGTAACATGGTGTAAAAGAAAAAAATACATCAAAAACAATTTACCACTGGAAATTGCAAATACTTCCGTTCAAAATATACTAGATCCTTTTGTTGTTACAATAACATTTTTAAGATCAAATATGTAAAATGAAGGTTAAGATTTGACATGTGATTATTATATTTGCAAATATGTGATGTATTGCTGGTCCTTGTTCTTATTCAAGTTATCACATTTTTAGTTATCACATTTACACTCATTGGTGGTTTTTGCAAATAATTTATAATTAGGATTAAAGTACAAAGTAAAAGCAAAAAGCAAAAAATCACCTACAATAAATTAAATATTTCAATATATAGTGTTTATATTTAATATAAGTAGAGTGTAACATTCAACCATTCGAACGTCTCGGTTACGAATGTAACCTTCGTTCCCTGGGTAGGTGATTGACAACAAAATGGGGGTTTCGTTTAGAAGGCTATCACCTTTGAGTATTAAAAAAACAAAAACCAGTCAATGGCAAAGAAATGACATGGGTCTGCAGAATTTGCATAGCATAGCTCTGCCCCACCTCATGGGTATATAAGGAAGGACGCCGGCAACGTGCAGGTATGTTTCCTGCTGAGGAGCTGAGACTGAAGTCGGCGTTCCAGTGGAACAGCAGAAGTGGCAGTAAGACGTAACCCTTTCGTAGTCACTTACTCTCGGCCGTCTTCCAGTGCCCTTGCTAAGTCTGAGCTCCCTGTCGTGAGTCTGGCATGGACGAATGACTACAACTTGACACAGGAATACCAAGGTACACTGGAGAGCATATCTCAGTGGAAATATGCAAACCATGCCCGCCCGGAGTGTCCAGCCCGTGGGGTGGAATGTTTCAACTCCAGGGGTGGAAAGGTGGCTTGCCAAAGAAAAGACACATGCTCAAGGAGGCTTACAGTGGAAATACACATGTGGGGGCCCACCATGAACATGGAGGCACCTAGCAAACTGCGAAAGCTGCCGGAGGCATAACCTTGGCGTTGACGTCAACAGTGCTGGAGCAGCTTCTCGGGGAAACTCAACTGAGTAGAATATCGTATGTATCCAGTCTGTGGAGTGGAATGGCGAGCAAGCGAAGACACCTGATCGGCTCCTAGTTACTGGCTCGTTGAAGCAAGTACACGAGAGGACACAGGCTCCACTCTGAGATTATAAAATCTCACGAATGTGTTGGGTGTCGCCCAGCTTGCAGCTCTGGAGATGTCTGTTAGCAAGGCGCCATGCGCTAGAGCCCAAGAGGAGGCCAGACTCTGAGTGGAGTGAGCCTTCACACCAAGGGGGCACGGTCAACCTTGCCGCTGGTAAGCCAAAGCAATGGCGTCCACTATCCAGTGAGACAGCTCTGCTTTGAGAGAGCTTTTCCCTTCAGCTGCCACCATAACAGACAAAGAGCTGGTCTGAGGTCCTGAATCACTGCATCATGTTGATCTCTCTCAAAAACGGGTAAAAACTGCTTTCAAGTATGGGTAGGTTGGTACACTTTCCATGTCAGGTAATTTAAAACACTTAAATACATTGTTTGTGAATCAAAAATATACATTTCATAAGTTTTGAAATATTTTTAAAAAACATGCTGCAACTGAAGAAAACACATGCAATTAAAAAAAAACCTGCATTCAAATAGAAAAAAAAATGCAAATAGACAAAAAACCCACATTCAAATAGAAAAAAACACCCGCAAATCAAGATAACATCGTCATCAGTTTCACAGCACATGTGTGCTCCAAATACTCACAACACAACCCAATACACAAACGTGCTGCAAAAGTTCATAACACAACCAAATACAGAAACATGTTGCAAATAACACAGACCACAGAGGAAATGTTTCCAGGGGAACCAAATAAGTGACAAACCCGGCTGGGACATGTTTATCATAGATATCCACAATAAAGGCTAGATGTCTTACGGCGCGGTTTCTATCGCCATTACTGGCGGCCATCTTGTCACAGGCAAGCTGATGTAAGATGAGTCATCAGCCCGAACGCAAATACTCTTATCTCGTTGAAATCTTGACGGATTTACAAGCGGTTTTGTTTCTTACAAACGTTATTAACATGGCTAAATTCTAGATGATTATTTCTTTATACACTTATTATTCATAAGTATGCAGTGTCATAACTACATCTCTGACGTTTATAACGTTTATGGTTGTTTAAAAAGTACATGCACCATTAAAACACAATGTTATGAGTGAGCGAGCGGCCTGTGACAAGATAGCCGCCAGGTGCAGACGTCAACCTCCAGTGCTTCCAGTTTTTCCAGTCTTACAATCCCCTCTGTGCTTCTTTTGTTGAAAGAGACAAAGGAGACAAAAACGGAACAAATTTTATACAATAGTAGTATAGGCTATAATACAGTTCTGCTGTTTAGTATGATTCCCCTTTTAGCCTAGTATGATTTGTTTTATTAAAACAGCTTGGTGCTTTTAGCATTGTTTTTAATCTTACTTCTCTAATCTTTTCTTTAATCTTACTTCTAAACTTCCCTCTCCCTTTACCATCAATCCAGAAATCAGCCGAGCTGAAACATAGGCTAATATAGAGAGGTAATAGTCAACAAAAACACAATGGCTAAAAAACTCCACCCTTGGAGAGTAAAAACAACATAATGCAGTTGTTGTAACTCAATCTCTATATGACTCCGGGTAAATGTCAGTGTTCATCACTGTCACTTTTTACCCAGCCGTCCAATCACAGGAGTGTGGGATATTCCGGATCAAGCAACAGCTTTGGTGGATACGTGGCCTAAATTAAAAAAATAAAATAAAATCATTTTTTGGGGGGGCATAGTTTTTGTTGACTATTACCTCTCTATATTAGCCTATGTTTCAGCTCGGCTGATTTCTGGATTGATGGTAAAGGGAGAGGGAAGTTTAGAAGTAAGATTAAAGAAAAGATTAGAGAAGTAAGATTAAAAACAATGCTAAAAGCACCAAGCTGTTTTAATAAAACAAATCATACTAGGCTAAAAGGGGAATCATACTAAACAGCAGAACTGTATTATAGCCTATACTACTATTGTATAAAATTTGTTCCGTTTTTGTCTCCTTTGTCTCTTTCAACAAAAGAAGCACAGAGGGGATTGTAAGACTGGAAAAACTGGAAGCACTGTACGAGAGGGCTACTCTCTGAGAAAACAAAGGAAATTACCATTTAAACTACCACTCTTGTGCACTATTCGAGACGAAAGTCTCACCTCAGAATCATTCTAATCTACATGACTTTCCCTCTACCACTACTCTCTCAATAGGCCATCTATAATAAATACACAGACGCCCTATTGGCCGCTGGAGTGTACGTCAACGGCGCCACCATATTGGGGAGGGCAACTTTCCCATATCTCTCATCATGGGAATTGAGAAAAATGTCTGTTTCGTGTGCTGCTGTTTGGGGCTTTACAAGTCAAACACAATTGAAAACAGGTTTCGTGGGGAATTAACTTTCACAAACAAGACTGAACATTTTCTTCCGGTTGTATTTGGTCAATCAATAGTAACATACACCACGTACAAATCACTGAAATCGGTTGATAAACGTAAACGTTATTATTGTTTTTATCCAGAAAATCCGCAGCTCACCCGTTTACTTGCATTTGTTCACAGTGCAGTCTTGCCCTCTGTAAAATGGGGGACACGTTGACATATCAAAGCAACATTACAAAAAGCGGCCAATAGGGCGTCTATGTATTTATTATTTCTATGATGCTCACAAGCAATTAACATCATAGATATCCAAAATAAAGGCTAGATATCTTGTCCACGCTGCTGACCAATGGAGGTTGACGTCTGCACCTGGCGGCTATCTTGTCACAGGCCGCTCGCTCACTCATAACATTGTGTTTTAATGGTGCATGTACTTTTTAAACAACCATAAACGTTATAAACGTCAGAGATGTAGTTATGACACTGCATACTTATGAATAATAAGTGTATAAAGAAATAATCATCTAGAATTTAGCCATGTTAATAACGTTTGTAAGAAACAAAACCGCTTGTAAATCCGTCAAGATTTCAACGAGATAAGAGTATTTGCGTTCGGGCTGATGACTCATCTTACATCAGCTTGCCTGTGACAAGATGGCCGCCAGTAATGGCGATAGAAACCGCGCCGTAAGACATCTAGCCTTTATTGTGGATATCTATGATAAACATGTCCCAGCCGGGTTTGTCACTTATTTGGTTCCCCTGGAAACATTTCCTCTGTGGTCTGTGTTATTTGCAACATGTTTCTGTATTTGGTTGTGTTATGAACTTTTGCAGCACGTTTGTGTATTGGGTTGTGTTGTGAGTATTTGGAGCACACATGTGTTGTGAAACTGATGAAGATATTTTCTTAATTTGCGTTTGTTTTTTTTCTATTTGAATGTGTTTTTTTGTATTTGCATGTGTTTTCTTCAGTTGCAGCATGTTTTTTTTTTTTTTTTTTAAATATTTCAAAACTTATGCAATGCAGGGGATCGCGGGGCACAACCTAACGCAGGATTAAATGTAACACAGACCTTTTACATGAGCCGCTTTCCGACCAAGTAGTTACAGAAACTTAGTTATAGGAACTGTCCACTTCTAAACAGTTCTAAGAACTACTCTCCCCCAAACTCGGTTTTGCTGCTTGCGTTCGCACTGGCCAAGTGGCTATTGAGAATGAGGAGTCACGTGCCTATTTGGGCGGGGTCTGAGCCATTCGGCCATGATGGTAGGTGACGCTATCGGTTACCAGGGTTTTTATCGGTTTTTAACGCAGCAGTTACTTCCAGGCATGGTAAAACAGTGCGGTATTGCGAGAAACTCCTCTACTACCGAGCTAAAAACACACGTAATCAATACTGTTTTGTCGTGGGAATCCTACCAACATGGCGGAAAGGGGAGGGGCACTGTAAAATGACGTCAACTCCTCATTCTCAATAGACGAATCCGACGAGCGTTCTGTGTAGGCTGCCATCTTGTGGCGACGC